GGGATGGGGGTGGCTATAAAAATACAGCCTATGCTGGGCGGTGGCAAGAAAATAAGCCTCAGTGACTGGGCGGAGTGGCTACAGAAAATTAAGCTAGTGAGGGTGGCTATGAAAATAAGCCTAGTGATGGGTGTGGCTATGAAAATAAGCCCTGAGATGGGCGTGGTATGAAAATAAGCCCTAGTGGCTGGGCGTGGCTTAAGAAAATAAGCCCTAGTGATGGGGGGCTAAGAAAATAGCCTAGCTGATGGGCGTGGCAAGAAAATAAGCCCTATGTATGGCGTTGGCTATGAAAATAAGCCCTATGATGAGGCGTGGCTAAGAAATAGCCTAGTGATGGGCGTGGCTATTTAAAATAAGCCCTGTGATGGGCTATGGCTGATGAAATAAGCCCTAGTGCTGGCGTGGCTACTGAAAATCAGCCCTAGTGTGATGGCTTGCCTATGAAAAGCCTGGTGCTGGGTTGGTATGAAAATTGGCCCTGGTGCTGGGTGCTATGAAATAAGCTAGTCTGGGCATTGGGTATGAAAATCAGCCTTGGTTCATTATGGGCGGCTATGAAATAGCCCTTATGATGGGCATGTATGAAAATCAGCTAGTGATTGGGCGTGCTATGAAAATAAGCCCTGGTGATGGGCATGGTATGAAAATAAGGCCTGTGGATGGGCGGTGGCTATGAAATAAGCCCTAGTGATGGGCGTGCATGAAATAAGCCCTAGTGCGGGCGTGGTATGAAAATAACAGCCTAGTGGTGGCGTGGCTATGAAATAAACCCTAGTGATGGACCGTTGGGGGCTTATGGATAGCCCTAGTGGTGGCTGGCTTGAAATAAGCCCTAGTGGTGGCGTGGCTATGAAAATAAGCCCTAGTGATGGAGCGTGCTATGAATAAACCTAGTGGTGGCGTGGCTAAGAAAATAGCCTAGTGATGGGGTGGCTAAGAAATACCAGTGATGGGCATGGCTATGAAAATTAACCCTAGATCTTCCCACTAGGGCTTATTTTCATAGCCACGCCCAGCACTAGGGCTTATTTTCATAGCCACGCCCATAGCTACTACCTTGACGCAGAGTTAATGGTTGGAGACTCTTATTCAAGCCTTGCAAGTCAATGGCTTCCTCCCAGATGCCCCCTTTCTGGTTCTCTCTTCCTCTGAACAGTGCCACTGTCTACCCGGCTCTTGCTGGAAACCGGACTTCTTCTTCCTTATCTTCCCATGGCCAGGGGATCACCTTATCCTGAGGATTTTTTTACTGCCCTGTCTTTGCAATACTGTGCTCACAGCTCCTGTGCAATCCACCGTCTCTCCTGGGCTGCCTGGTTGCTGCCTCCCAGCCCGGTGCCCACACAGCGTCTGTAGTGCTCTTTGTGAAATGCTCGTCTTCCAGCCAGCCCGCCCTGAGACCTTCCAGTGGCCCCCCCTGGCTGCTTGGTCCACCACGGACCTGTGCCCGTGGAGGCCTCCGTGGATCACCTTTGGGCAAGAAGCCACCTCCCCCCCTGCCACCTTCACGCTTTCTGCCCCAAACACCCTGGCTTCTGTTTGGTCCTCTTAACACAGAGCCTTTGGGTTGGCTGTTCCTTCTTCGTGCAATGTGTTTCCCCTCCTTTCTCCCCTGGTTAACCGTTATTTCTTCAGCGAAATCCTTCCCTGGTTGAAGTCGTGTCCCCTGTATTGATTTCTGAGCATTGGTTACGGGTACACTTTACACAGGTCGCTGCTATACTTACTTGCTTGAAACCTAGAGCTATCTGCCTGGGGTGAGAGCTCTGTTTTTTTGCTTACCCTGCTAGTCTCAGAGCCAGCTGAATGCCTTGGCGACTATATATATATATGTATATATATATTTATATATAATTTTTTTTAAGAGATAAAAAATATTTTTTATTTTTAATAAAATATTTTTTATTTTAATATTTTTAAAGA